GCCGCGGGACCCCCGAGCCGGGGTCATCGACGCGCAGCAGCTGCAGCGAGCTTGGCGGGAACCGCAAACAGGCGGAGGGCCCCGCGGGGACACTTAGCACTTTATTAACCTGCCAGCGCCGAGCAGGTCCCCGGCGGCCTGGGGGCGGGGCCCGAGGATTTATAAGCCCCCCTCGGGGCTGCTGGAGGAGGCAGCGTCTGCCCTTGGCCACCAGCCTCACATCCCGAGGCTCGCCCGGGCCTGGGCCACTGTCCCCAAAAGGCTGCCTCAGGCCCCCGTCCCACCTGCCTCTCCCCGCGGTCCGTGACCTTTGAGCCCCAGGCCCAGGTCAGCCCCAGACACTGCGCACTTCGTGTCCGGAATGCTCCATCCGCACCTGGGCTCTTCCCTGGTCCCCCCCACCAGTGGATGGAGGGGCCAGGGGGCCCTTTCTCGTGCTCCAACACCTCCTCCCCTTCTGCTCAGGCACCCCATCTGTGGAACTCCTGCTCCTCTTTCGGGGTATGGGGGACCCTAGCTTATCCCCCACCCCCTGCACTGATCTGGCGCCCAGCTCCCCCTCCCCCGGACTAGGGCCCTAATCTCCTACCCACTCCAGTGCCTCAACTGCCCAGTGGGGGCCCTCTGGAGCCCCACATGCATGGACTCATATGTTCCCCCTTCCAGGGGGCTGTCACCACTGTCTCCAACAGGAGGAAAGGGGGCTCAGAGGGGGCAGGTCGCTTACTCAGGGTCACACAGCAAGTTAGCAGATGGCTGGGATTGGAATCCAAGTTTGAGACCCCCATGACCATGGCCAGCCAACTCCAGCAGCCCACCCGCACCCGGGCTGGTGCCAGCTCCAAGCTGTGAGCTGTGCTGTCATTTCCCTGGCCACCCCAGCCCCTGCCTCTCCCAGAGACAGTGCGGAGGGCCCAGCCCCTCCCCCACGGAGGGACAGTATGCTCCTCCATGTTCCAGGCTCTGAAGTTTGGCCAAGATCCAGGGACAAAAGGGCCCCAATTCACGCCAGGTGCCATCCCTGGCGAGGAGCCAGCAGCTGCTCCAACACAGCTTTCAAAGAACCGTCCCCACCCCAAGTCCCTGCTCTGCCGGTGCCCAACTCTGCCTGAACCCCGAGCCTCACTAAAGACACGGACCTTCCAGCCACTGCAACTGAGAAATTTATTGAAGTCTGGGGAAGGGCCCATGGTCAGAGAATAATAAATAAAAGACACCGGACGCTCATAGAACCAACAAGCAGTTTGGGACACAGGTTTGCAGGAATTACTGGGACTCACACGCGGCCACAGCCTTTGTGTCTGACGGAGGAGGCGGGAGCCCCTGCCCCAGCCGACTCCAGTCCTAATCCAACCCTCGACCAATAAGAGGTGGCTGGGGAGGGAGGGCCGGGGGCTGTTTGGCAACGGAAATGGGTGGGCTGGGCGGAGCCTGGCCGAGGCCGGGGGCTGCGGTGACTGGGGGAGGGGAGGAACACTTTGTCTGTGCTGGGAGGGAGCTCCCTGTGGGCAGGAAAGGGTGCTCTGGACGGAAGGGGCCCCCGGGGAGTTCTGTGGACTCTGCAGGTTAGTGGAGTCAAGATAGAGAAAGATCTAGAGCCAGCCGCCCCAGGGGCCAGGAGGAGGCTTCTGAGGAAGGTGGGGGTTGGTGGCCCCCCAGAGGGACCAGGAAGGACACAGGCGTGACCCCCCGCCCTCCCCACTCCGCACTGCCTGCTGCATGGACAAACGAGGCCCGTCTCTGACCTAAAGTGGGGCCGGGGCACTGCACAACGCGACAGATGGGGCCTGCGAGATGAGGGAGCGATGAGCCTCATGGTTTAATTGTGGAAGTTAAAGCAGCTTCCAGCCTGAGGACCCTGCCGGGCCGGGCTGGGGAGAAGCCCGGAAGCCAAGGCCTGGCTTAGGCGGGGTGACATTTCATGTCTAGGATGAGCAGCAAGCCCTCAGCTTAACTGGTCGGTAAAGGGAGAAATTGGCTTACAAAACAAGGCCTGCCGGCGGCCACCAGGTGGGCCAGCCCTGTGCAGGAGGAAGAGCAGACATGGACCTGCCCCAAGGCTGGGGGCCGCAGGGTTGGGCACTCCACAGAAACAAGCCCTCCCTCGACGTCCTCTTCCTGTCCCCTGCTGGTGGCACCTGCTTCTCACGGAAGTCCAGGGCTTGGGGAAGGGAGGAGAGCCCGGCTCCTAGCACAGAGCACAGGCCGTGCTGCTGGCCGGGCCCATTGAGTCAGGAGCTCAGTGGGGTTGCGGCCTCCGTCAGAACTGAGCGTGGTCCACCTCGTCCAGCCAGGAGGCGGGGCTCGCAGGAAAGTCGGGGTAGCCCCCGCTGCTCCCGGTAGACAGGTCGGAGCTGGGTCCGTTGCCTGCCAGCACCCTCATGGGCGGGGGCCCACCTGGGGCCCCCGAGGGGATGAGGCCCAAGCCAGCCTCTGGGTACACCAAGCTGGAGAGGAGGGGCTGGGGGCCTGGGAGGCTCTGCAGGGCGGCCGGCGATGGGGGGACACCGTAGGGGCTGCTGGGGCGCAGCTCGCGGTACTGCTCCGGGCGGGCCAGGCCTCCATGCTCCAGTGGGAAGCTGCCTGGGGCTCCCGTGGGCCGGCCCAAGGGCGCAGTGGGCTCCCCCAGGCTGCCATAGAGGCCGTTAGCAGGGCCCAGCTCGGCCATGGGCGGGTCTTCTGCAGCGGAAGCAGAGGGCGCTGCTCAGTGCCCACCCTCCGCCACCTCTGACCCCTCAGCACCCCTCCCGCAGGGGGGACCTGCCCATGCCACATGACAGGCCGGCCCCAGTCTCTTCTGCTCTCAGAAATCACCACTGCCCTCTGCCCCGGCTCCTCACCCCTGCATTAGTGCAGCTCAGTCCCACCCAGTATCTAAGGAATGAGGGTTCCCCCGGTGGTACGGGGTCAGGAACGGCCCAGCCAGGGCACAGGGTTCCAGGACGATCGCCAAGGCTGCCGTGGACAGGGCAGCACAGATACCACCCGTCCCCAGTTTGCAGACAAGTTACTTGAGGCCCAGAGAGGCTGGAACGGTTGCCCAGGGTCACGACGCAGCCAGAGAGTCACTGCACTCTCTGAGGATGGGCGTGAAGAGGTAGGGGTCCCTTGGCGGGGAGGAGATAATTGCATCCCACAGAGGGACCCTCCCAGCACCGAGTGGCCCAACTTCCTAAACATCACAACGAGGGCCAGGAGCCAGAGAGCAGGTCTGGACCCTGCCCCCGCGAGAAAGCCCCCTGGACAGGCCAGGCCAGGCCACAGGGCTTCTGTCCCCAAGCAGGGAAGAGCAGTAGCCCTGAGTGGCCAAGTCACAGGGCTCGGGGCTGGGGGACCAGGGTCCACAAATGGGTTTTTTTACGCAGGGCTAAAGAGGCCACTTTACCAGGAAATTCAGGTTTCCAGGCTCCCTGCGACCCACCAGCCCCACGTCCTTTGCGCCCAGAGCCGCTCTCTCTCCGTGATGTGGGAGAAGCCGCCCCTGGCCTGTGCGTACCGGTGAAGGAGACCTCGGCGTCGCTGTCCTGCCCCTCCTCCTGGACGCTGTCCTTGTCGGACTTGGAGCCCCCGCGGGCGCGCTTCATGCTGCGGAAATACTGGCCCCAGCGCTGTCGGCCCGCGTCCTTCTTCAGCCTCTTCTCCTTGGCCCGGCGGTTCTGGAACCACACCTGGGGAGGGGCAGCGCGTGAAGCCCGCGCGCGGGGCGG